GTAGAGGCTAAAGTCTGGGATTGTGATGCCTCCTGCTTTGGTCTTCTTCTTCAAAATTACTTTGGCTATTCGGGGCCTTTTGTGGTTCCATATGAATTTTAGGATTGCTTGTTCTAGTTTCGAGAAGAATGCTGGTGCAATTTTGATTGGGATTGCATTGAATGTGTAGATAGCTTTGGGTAGTATTGACATTTTGACAATATTTATTCTTCCAATCCATGAGCACCCTTATGGAGGTAGTAAAGGGTAAATGAGGCCCTAAGAGTGGAGCCCTGATTCAAGGAGAGTCTGCTCTCTCACTCTGTGCCATGTGAAGACACAGTGACCAGGCTGTCAGCAAGCCAGGAAGAGAGTCCTCATCAGAGCCTAACCCTGCTGGCAGCCTGATCTCAGACTTTTAGTCTCCAGAACTGTGAGACAATAAACTTCTGTTGTTCAAGCCACCCAGTCTATGGCAGCCTGAACAGACTAAGACAAACGTGAAATCAACAGATCAATAATTCTGTGTTTTAAGAGGCAATGTAAGTGAAAAGGCTCAAAAACGAGGTCTAAATATAAATTATTAATAAAACTTGGACTGTTTTCTTCCATTCTAAAGGCATCATATAGGGCAAGTATGTGGTCAATGGATTAAGCATTAAATTGAGCTATTAAGACATAAAACTACACTGCCCCAGCCACGAATATAACCCACTGATGATATTACTTACGTTTCTGCTCAACGTGAGAGAAAGCAATGACATTACTGAACTTACTTTCAATGTGCAAACCAACAGTCATAACACACAGTGTAAGAAAATAAACCATTTTCTTCAATTTATGAGGGGTTTTATTGACAAAAAAAAAAAAAAAAAAAAAAAAAAAAAAAAAAGGAATACTCATGATGAGTGAAAAAGACAAGTGTTGCATTGAGTGATAGAAAATAAACAAAACCAAAAAAAGACTTTAAAGTATGTCCAGGGGCACCTGGCTGGTTTGGTCAGTAGAGCACTCTGATCAGTGTGACTCTTGATCTCAGAGTTGTCAGTTCGAGCCCCAAGTTGGATGTAGAGGTTACTTTAAAATAATAAAGTAAAATATGTCCAGTTTTTAAAATGAGGGTGGCAAGAGGAGGAAAAAAGGAAAAAGCACCCAAATCCTTTCAAGTGTCCCAACTTAAAATAACTCTAAACCCTCTAATGATGGTACCGTGAGTCAAAGGAACAAGGTGCAGTCAGTAAAACAAATACAGGTAGTGCTTACATGTTTAAAAGATCCATAGGGTACTGCAGCGGACCCTGTCTCTTCTAGGTAATCTTCCCAGCTTAACTCCACTTCTTCCACACCAGATCCAGCATCTGGAATTAAAATCAGAACAAAAGAAAACTCAAAACTGTAAAAACATAAACTTAGTAACCCTAACTTACACAATTTACTTCACATCAAATTAACCGATTTGATTTTACACACAAAATAATCAGACGTTCAGGTTTTTAAAAAATTTTTTTAATGTTTGTTTTTGAGAGACAGACACATAGAGTGCGAGCAGGGGAGGGGCAGAGAGAGAGGGAGACACAGAATCCGAAGCAGGCTCCAGGCTCTGACATGTCAGCACAGAGCCCGACGCGGGGCTCAAACTCACGAACCATGAGATCATGACCTGAGCTGGAGTCTGACGCTCAACCGACTGAGCCACCCAAGCACCCCTCACATGTTCATTGTAAATGGCAGGTTCCCTTTGTGTACTGATGATCAATGAATCTCAACAACATGGAAGGGTGACATGCTGTCTCCTGCTGGGCTCCATCAGGGAGGGATTCACCCAGATGGGCCATATAAAAGCTGGTGAGAGTATAACTATTATAATCACTTTGGACTATAATTTAGTATCTAATGCCAACTACCTGAGATACTTAATAGGCATTTCTTTTTTTTTTTAATTCTTTAAATGTTTATTTATATTTGAGAGAGAGAGAGAGAGAGAGAGAGAGAGAGAGAGAGAGAGAGAGAGAGAGAGAGAGAGAGAGAGAGAGAGAGAATGCACGAGCAGGGAGGGGGCAGAGAGAGGCCAAGACGGAATCTGAAGCAGGCTCCGGGCTCCAAGCTGTCAGCACACAGTCTGACGTGGGGCTTGGCCTCAGGAGCTGTGAGATCGTGACCTGAGCCGAAGTCAGACGCTCAACTGACTGAGCCACCCGGGTGCCTTAATAGGCATTTCAAACTTAAAATTTCAACCTGAATCCTCCTTAGTACTCTCCAATTGCATAAAAGATACCACCAGTTCATATTTTGGCTCAATCCAAAACTGTGGGGTTATCCTTTTTTTCCAACTTCTCTTTCACATCTACAGATACATCAAAATCTTCAGAAAACTCTGTAGGTACCACCTTTAAAATACACTCCAAATCAAATCACTTCCCACCATTTCTATTGCTCTCTCTCTAGCCCAAGACCTAATCACTATATCCTTTCACCTTTTAATCAAAATTACAACGAAATCTAAACTCTTTGGAAGACTGTGAAGGCCCAATCTGGTGTGAGCCCTGGCTGCCTTCCCTGCCACTTCATCCCCAACCAGCCTCTTGTGTGCTCACTGCACTCAAGTGACCCTGGGATTCTTACTATTCTTCTCTAAACATGCTCTTTCCTCATTGATTTCCTCAAAGACCCCTTCCCCAGTGTCATTCACCGCTTCATTACATTCAAGCCTCTCCTCAAACGTCCTGTTTCCAGAAAGGCCTCCCATCACTACTTCTCTAAAGCAGACACCCCAGACTGTGCTTCCATTATCTTACAGGCATTCAGAAGTACTTGCCAGTATGCCATACACCTTTGTATCCTCCCCATTAGAAAACAAACTCTACCAAGACAAGACTTCATTTTGGTCACTCCTGTATCTCTGTCACAGCAGACTCAATACATTTTTGTTGAGTGAGCAAAGATTCAAATATTCCAAACTCCACTAATTCCAATTTACATAATAAACTCTCTAAGAGCAGGATTTTGTTTACTGACGTATCCTCACTGCTCAAAACAATGAGGGGCACTAGCAGGTTCACAACAGACAGCTGCTGAATGAGCGCACCCTAGGGGAGTCCATGCGTAGGAGGCAAGTACAAGGATGCTCACCACAGCACTGTCTGTGACAGCAACAGACAGAAGAAGAGATAAATTATGGCAATTCCACAATGGAGTAGTACTATATCGCAGCTGAAATGAATGAACCAGTACTGACACAGATAAATCTCAAAAAAAAAAAAACCACATCAAATAAAAACAGCAAGTACAGAATGAAAGGCACAAGATACAGTTTAGGCTTCAAAGCAGACTTTGCAGTATAAATGTTTATAAATGCATGCATATTAAAATAAGAGTATAGAAACAAAGGTGGGAAGGATATACATCAACTACCTTTGGGAGATGGAGAGGAGAAAATAGGAAGAGAAGTACAAAAGAGGCTTAAACTCTATTAGGCTTTATTTCTTAAAAAAAATGGGAAGACATGAAAACATGTTCAACATCATTAGGCAAGTGCAAATCAAAATCACAATGAGATACCACCTCATACCCACTAGAATGACTATTATCCCAAAAAAGCAGAAAGTAAGTGTTGCCAAGGATGTGAGAAATTGGAATCTTTGTGCATTGCTGGTCTGCGGATGTAAAATGGTGCAGCCGCTGTGGAAAACTATACGGTGGTTCCTCAAACAATTAAAAATACAATCACCCTGTGACCTAGCCATTCCACTTCTGGATATATACCCCAAAGAATTGAAAGCAAGGACTCAAACAGATAGTTGTACACAAATGTTCATAGCAGTAATATTCACAACAGTCAAAAGGTGGAAGCAACTCAAGTGTCCATAAACGGATGAACAGATAAACAAAATGAGGTACATACATACATACACTGGAGTATTATTCAGCCTTAAAAATATGGCACATATGACAACATGAATGAACCGGAGGATGTGACGCTGAATGAAGTAAGCCACTTGCAAAAGGACAGATACTGTATGATTCCACTTACATGCCAATAGCTAGAGTACTCAAATCCACAGAGACACAAACGAGAATGTAATTCCCAAGGACTGGGGGGAAAGGGAAATGGGAAGTTATCATCATGTAATAGGTACAGAGTTGCAGTCTGAGAAGATGAAAAAGTGCTGGATTGGGTGCCTGGGTGAGTTAGTTAAGTGTCCAACTCTGGATTTCGGCTCAGGTCATGATCTCACGGTTTGTGGGTTTGAGCCCCGCACTGGGCTCCATGCTGACAGTGCAGATCCTGCTTGGGATTCTCTCTCCCACTCTCAGCTGCTCCCCTGCTCACATGCACACACACTCTCTCTTTCTCTCAAAATAAATAAATAAACTTAAAAAAAAGTGCTGGAGATCACTGCAGTGATGCACAGCAGTGTGAATGGACTTCATGCCACTGAACTGTATACCTAAAAATGGTTCACAAGTAAACTTTGTGTTAAGGACATTTTATAACAATTTAAAAAATGGAAACAAATACTGGACAACGTTAACATTAATTCTTCACAGTAGGTACCACAGGTGTTTGTTATATTGTTTTCCACTCATTTTTATCAATGTGTGTTTGTTATATTGTTTTCCATGTTTGAAAATTTTCACCAGAAATTTAACAAGCCAACAAAGACTACATGGGCAGCATCCTGGAAAGTATGGGTCAGTAGAAACTCAATTTCCATTATTAAAACATAACAAGGCTGACGATTCATGGTCCTCAGCCAGGAACCTACTCCCTCAAACAGCATGCTAATTTACAAAGAAAAAATAAACAACAAAAGGGGCAACCAGATGTCTCAGACGGCTGGGTGTCTGATTCCTGATTTCAGGTCAGGTTGTGATCTCATAGTTTGTGGGTTTGAGTCTAGTGCTGGGCTCTGCACTGAGCGCTCAGGGCCCACTTACGATTCTCTCTCTCCCTTGCCCAGCTCACGTTCTCTCTCCCAAGATAAACATTAAATAAACATTAAAAAAAAAATGAAAAAATACTAAAAATAATGAATTAAAGAACTAAAACCTCTAATAATTAAAAACTACTGACAAGCCAAGAAGAAACAAACTAATAATCTGATCAAAAAATGAGCAAAATAGGGGAGCCTGGGTGGCTCAGTTGGCTAAGCAACTGACTCTTGATATCAGCTCAGGTCACGATCTCGCAGTTGTGGGACTGAGCACCCATCGGGATTGGTTGGGATTATCTCTCTCTGCCCCTCCCCTGCTTGTGTGCATGCACACACTCTCTCTCAAAATAAATAATTATTTTATTTATCTCAAAATAAATAATTTTTCTTTAAAAAAAAGAAAAATGAGCAAAATACATGAAAAGAAATGCAAATAGTCCTTAAACATATGGAAAGATGTGTAAATTTACTCATTTTAAAAGATAAGCAAATTAAAACTACACTGAGGTATCAGATTGGAAAAAAATTCCAAAGTTTGACAACATACTCCTCTCTATAGTGAGGCTGTAGTTAAGCAGGTAAACCATAATGACACAACCCTAGTGAAAGAGAACTTGGCAATATCTAGCAAAATACATATGTATTTGCCTTTTGAGCCAACAATTCCACTTCTAGGAATCTATCCCAAAGATAGATATGCTGGCAAAAATACAAAAAGACGTATGTGCAAAACTATTCATTGCAGCCTTATTTGTAATACCAAGACTGGGATCAACCCAAGTGTCCACCAGCAGGGAACTGGCTGAATTAAATATGGTAGATACATCTATATAGCTGGAAAAAGGAAGGAGAAAGATTACTACATACTGATGTGGGATAATCTCTAGTATAGAAGAGGTATGAATATCAATATACATGTATGTATACACATTCTTGTTTATAATTTTTAAATGAGTAATAAAGTAATAAAACCAGTTATGTATATGAAGAATAAAAAGGATGAATAGTATCAGAATGCCATCATATGTAACTATGTAGACATTTTTACAATTTAGAAACATATTTGAATCAAAAGAAAAAAATTCCAGGGGCACCTGGGTGGTTCAGTCAGTTAGGCTTTGGACTCTGGATTTTCACTCAGGTCATGATTTCATGGATCCTGGCATTGAGCTCCACTAGGTTCTGTGCTCACAGCACGAAGCCTCCTTGGGATTCTCTCTCACCCTCTCTGCAACCTTCCCCACTCACACACATTCTCTTTCTCTCTCAAAATAAGCAAACATTAAAAAAAAAAAAAAAGAAAAGAAAAAAATTCCAAATGAAAATGAACTGAAACAAATATGCTTAACTGTTGGTGGCAAAATCAACAGGATTACTTTACGCCATATTAAAATACAATATTTGACTGCAAACCCCAGGGGAATATATTTAAAGGCAAAAACCATAAAGAAACTTTAAACCTCACACTGTTATCTTACGAATACTTGGAATATTGGTACTGTTGAAAAAATTATAGAAATATCATAGGGTAGGGATGCCTGGTGGCTCAGTCAGTTAAGCATCAGACTCTTGATTTCAGCTCAGGTCATGATCTCATGGTTCATGAGTTCAAGCCCCATGTTGGGCTCCCTAGAGCCTGCTTGTGATTCTCTCTCTCTCTCCCTCTCCCTCTCTGCTCCTCCCCCTGCACACACATGCTCTCTCTCAAAATAAATAAATATTTTTTAAAAAACAATATAAGGGGGGCCTGGATGGCTCAGTTGGTTAAGCATCCAACTTCACCTCAGGTCATGATCTCACCATTCAGGAGTTCAAGTCCCACATTAGGTTCTGTGCTGTCAGCTCAGAACCTGGAGCCCACTTCAGATTCTGTGTCTCCCTCTCTCTCTAACCCTCCCCTGCTCGTGCTCTGTCTCTCTCTCTCTTTCAATAACAAATATTAAACATTAAAAAAAAAACAATAAAAAATATGGTAGAGTAAAAATAAGTGATGATATGAACATCATTATGAAACAACACATTTCCAAAAGAAAAGAGACGCAAGCATAAAATCAAAGAAGTAGTTTTAAATTACTGAAATTTTAAATTAAAATTATAAATATGGGGGCGCCTGGGTGGCTCAGTCAGTCAAGCGTTGGACTCTTGATTTCAGCTTAGGTCATGATCTTGCAGTTCCAGAGTCAGAGCCCCACATCTGGCTCTGTGCTGATGGTGCAGAGCCTACTTAGGATTCTTTCCCTCTCCCTCTGTCTCTACCACTCCCCCACTCATGTTGACTCTCAAAAAATAAACATTAAAAAATAAATAAGTAAAATTATAAATATAAAATGAAGCCACCTTTTCTAAAGATGTGTAGTTTCTACCTATGTCTATGGATAAGGCTTGTAAGAAATGACAACCTAGTATCAATGAGCACCCCAGTACTCAGACTGTGATCTCCAAATATTGTATCCACTGCCCTAAAGAAAAAATCATTTCCCAGAGAAATGGTAGGTTGTAAGTCTGGGGTAGAAAATGCGCAAGAAGTACCTGGGAATCTTACTACACCAGAAAGCAAGGACTAGAATTATCACAGATACATTGATATCACACCAAAAAACACAGGAAATAATCTGAAAGAACTCTCATTGCTCTAGAATGTGGCAGTTTGATCATCAAATGAATGACAGCAATAGAATCAAACTCATCAAATATGTGTGTGTGTGCACTTTAAATGCATGAATTAACAATAACATTTAAAACAAGATAAATCAACTTCCTAAATGGCACAGTGAGTACCTCAGTGAACCTACTCTCCCAGAAAAATATCAAG